CTTCATGTTTGGCTGTTCCAATTGCAACAGGGAATTTCGGTAGCGAAGCAGCCATGTGTTCCCTTCACTCAGCCTTCAACTTTTTCCATTTGACGAGGCATGGTGTCACTATAACCTAGGTGACAGTTAGCATTCACCAACATCTAGTCTAACCACATCCAAAGTTTCAACCTTGGGTCTCATTTCTTATAGACTTTTTACAAATTGGGTTCAGAAACATGGAAGAAGAAATGTGTAACTCTGAAAGAAGTGTTAAAGCTGGGGATGCTGGTGTCAGGCTCGGTGAAGTCTGACGTTCAAATGTTGCCTGTAAACTGTTGTAAAAGTGATTCAAATGATATGTACGATAGTTAGGATACGACCGAATTCGCCGTCTCATGTTAATTTTTAGAAAGAGATACCACATAATAGCCTTTCACAAACCCGGAGTTATTAGTGTGAGTATGGACAAGTAGTAAGTCAAAAGTGCAATCAGGTGTTGAAAGTCGAGTGCCGCCGGTGCTTACCAAGTAAAAGATGAAGAAAGGAAACTTTTATTGAAAGGCTAGTGGTGTTTATGGTTATGAGTAGCACAGCTCTGATCCTCCAAACAGATCACTCAGCTGTAAATGCCTTCCGGTTTATAGTTGCCATGCCACCCAAGGAAAGCACGAGGATTGAAATTCCGCGAGGTTGTTCAAGCCCAGACAGGCGAAGACGATATGCAGAGGTTGAGTACTGGCTGGTAAGTGTGCGACTTGACCACTGAGCTATCTCGAGCTCAGATCCTCCATCTGGCTGGTAAGTGTGCGACTTGAGCACTGAGCTATCTCGAGCTCAGGTCCTCCACACAACAGTGCGCTGATGATTTCACCTCGACTGCCAACGAAACTTTCGCATCTAAACTGTCTGGCTCAGTAAAAAAAACAACCACTGACTTGTTTTCTATCATCTGAAGACAAGCTATTCTTCGAGACACAGTAGTGTGGTCATCAATTCTGATACGCCCCATTTCGTGTTACCCTTGAAAGCGCAAATTCTCAGTTCCTGCTGTACTCTTTACGCTTACGATTGCAAACGCTACATGACTACAAGACGGTTTACGATACCTCTTCATAAGCAAGCATAAATAGTCTAACAGTGAGGACGCATCCATGACAAGCAGTGTTGTCTTTTTGTTGAACAACCACCATAAAACAAACTGATTTGTTGCGAAGGTGTGCGTAATCATTCAAACTGTACTTCAGAGCGGCGATTGGTCCTCACGGTTTTGCGCTTCATGTCTCAGTTCGTGCGATTCCGAGAATCGCAGTATATTTTCAAGAAGAAAACTATATGTAAGTTTTCTGAAGACTATTCCACAGCCCACGACGCATTTCTTCTTCGGACTCTTTGGATGGTCACAGTACCGAGATTCCGTCAATTTTATGTCCTACTTGAACTTCAATGGGACGAAATTCCCCGAACTCGGCAAACTCTCCATTTACACTGCAGACTCCACTGAATCTCTCGTTTCTTAGCCTCCCGTTGAAGTCAAATTGGTGTGCAAATAAGTTCACCTGGAGAATTTAGTACGGTTCGGGTTCAACGGAAATTTAAGGTTGTCGGAAACTAGGGACTATGGCTAGCTGATGGGCACAAAGAAGAAGGGCGAAACTGGTCCTGAGCTGCCGAAGAGTCTTCGGCAACCTTGTGAATAGAGTTTCCTAAAGAAAATGAATGTTGCTTACTGGATCCTTGAACCGAGGCAAAACAGCTTCAATGACTTGCCTATATTCAGAATGCACGGTAGCACTGGTAGCACTTCTCCAGGTTTGTTTGATCATTTGTAGGGGAAATATGGTAACCTGCAACTTTACAGTAAGTCAGTAGGTTGGTTGGGTTTTAGGGCAATGGCAGGCAGGGCATGCACTAGACACTGGGCATAGGATAGATTTGAAAAATGGGGGCATCCTGAGACAGGGTTTGAGATTCACCCCACAGCGACTGGTGACCGAGGCGGTGGAAATCACCAAGTATCCTAGCGTGAATAGAACGGAACGCGTAGAACTTGTAAGCGTAAGGAGAGCGGTTTTAGATCAACCGAGATGACAGGAGGCGGTGTGCAGTTATCGGCAAAATGGTTTGAGTTTAAAAGTGCGAAATTCAAGCAGAGTAATATCCAATTAACCAAACCCACCCCATCCCCAAACCCCTTGTCCCGGCACCCCTCGACGAGCACAGGTGGACAAAATCTGTGGACGACCTCCCAAGGTGGCCTAGACAGAAAAAGCAAGATTACAAAATCAGGGTTCAACATGAAGACAACTTCCCCCTAATCAATCTATCGTAAATGTTATTCATCCTCATTTACCCACAAACAGGAGCATCAGACTGACACTCAGCACTGATCAAGTCGGCTAGTCATAAGAAATCCCACCGATTGGTTCCCTGACTGCATTAAAACCCAATCAACCTACTTACTTACTCACTTGACCTGGCGAAGCTTTTGTGTCAAATGTAAAAGTTGCCCAGCAATAAATCCACCGATTGTTTACCAAACTTCTCTGAAACGATGGACTAACTAACGGTCCCAAACATTTTCCAATTGAGGGAGACGTTCCATTCGAAGAACCGCCATAAATACTTTACCAGTCAGACGAAATGGTCTCCAATGTATGAAAGAATGCTTGTCATGGAAACCAATAATAATAATATTAATAATAATAAATAGCCACATTTCCTCAGCTTTTCACTCATTTGTACAAGCACATTTTACTCAAAATCCTATTCTGTAGAGTGAGAATAAATGGTAGTTCAGATAACTTGAAAGAAGTAGAAGAGTTCTCAAAGAAGACTGATCGCTGTCCACAGCGATTCATAGAAACCCATAGTGACAGTTCACCTAAGAAAATTCATGGTACACAAAGCTGAAACCTGAACATTTTGTTCATTCGGTAGACAGAATAGGCTCTTCATTCTGCGGCTGCAAACTTTTGGACAGCCACATGCCCATTTCGGGGCTCATCTGTCCATTCTTTGAAGTAGGTGTAACTAGCTAGCCAGTGATAGTCGATAAAAATAAACTTCGGTCCTCAAACGAGTGCGGAAGTGTTGTGTACCTTCGTCTGGCTCAAATCAGCAAGAAAGTTATTCTAAGGAAGACCACCAGACTTACTTCATACCTAGGTAATCTGCGGGTAGCCGAGACACCTAAACGAGCAAAACAGACTGACACCTATCAATACGTGACCGGACGTGTGACACGATACATTCTTAGAGTACAATGTCACAGATGACTACAAAAGTTAGGAGGCTGAATTGTGAACAAGCACCTGCATCCACGAAGTTCCTACCGCAAATAACTAACCAAGTAGATCCGAAAGACTGGAACTCTAGATCAGTATCAATCAGCGAAGCTCTACTTTCAGAATTCCTTATCACCATTTTGAAGCGAAAATCGTGGCTTCCCTAACTTTATTCACGTGGGTGTTTAACTATTTATTGCTAACCCCTTCTTGTATTTAATCTGTATGCTAATGTCCATGACTATCTGATCGTCTGATTATCAAACATTCCGAATCCGGAGAACGTGTTGGTTAGTCACAATCAACGGTAGCTTCATGTGGGAGTCGGGACTTGGAGTTCCAACTACCTTCTTGACATGGTTCCTTCAATTAAACACTACCCTACTCCTCCACAAAAAAAAACGATCTTTCCAGACAGGACACCACCGGAAACCCGCATGACAGTTCAGTGTCGATTCTATCCTGAGAAAGGCAGTTCTTGGCCTTGAACCAGGTGGTTGGGCACACTTTCAGCAGGGAGCTCATCGTATTTTGTGGCTGCAGTCAAGTGTTCAACCATACGTTCCGCACGCAAGTAGGCGGGCGTGACACCCAAGACAGATTTACAGCTTCTGCGAAACGATCCTAGGCGCCGACAGTGAGAACCATCATAATTTGGTGTTCATAGTTTATGACGTTAAACTGTACAAAAAATGTCCCTCACCACAGAGCCTTTATTCTCGGTCCATCCGAACAGCTCTCTCCGATTAGCTGACCAAAAGAAAGCCGAACAATGTCAGAGGTCCTGTTCTCGGGATCAACCGAGTCCACACCTACATAGCCCGTAACACGCCCTCCACTTGGCTGTCTTCAGACAGGTTTTTGGACTTGACCTGGTGGCACTATCCAACAGCTAGTGGCGAAGACACCCATCCGGAGAAAGCGAACTCAAATGGATGGTTCCCTGTGGCAGATGACCATCCAGCATAAAAGAAACTACCGGACTATTCCAATTCGAAACTCAGCTGCCTAGCTGGCATGCCACCCGGAGGAAGTACGAGGGCTGGGATACTGTCAGATCGCCCAGACCTAGATAGGGGAAGTCGAGTGGCAGAGGTCGGTAGTGAAGACGGAGCACTGTTTCGACAGATTTGCATATCAACTCTCAACCGAATCTCTCGTTTATGGTATTCTCCAACTAAATGTGCTGCACAAAGGCCACCTCGTGCTTCATTTGGTATGATATTCGAAGTATTGCAGTGTATTTCACAGAGGACACTCACAGCCTGGGGAGTTACGACCAGTAAGTGGCTTACTCTAACTATAGAGGTGATGGAAACACTACGGGGAGTTTTGCTCTCAAGTGATGTACTTCCACGTCAGCTAATTTAAAGCTCAACAACGCCATTAGCACTTTGCTAGTGAGGCAATTCACTTCATGCTAATAGGATAAGTGGTCGCATAGGGGGCACCGTTTCGCACACACATCGGTCGGAAGAAACTACGGTGAGCTGACCACCAGCTGGGGACTCATTCATTCATTGGTAGCCTTGATGCACCCAACGAGATCGCAACATGACATCCCCGGGTATGGAGTGTTTATCACGATATATTACCCAGAGAAAGAAATACGAACCTCAATATTCACATAAAAGACCAGCCTGATACCGACCCGTTGAGTTAAGTGACGGTAAAAGCGTGCGGCAGAAAGGAACAAGCATTTATTGAACCGTGATCAAACATTAACGAACAGGTTTAGTATTCCTCGCCTTCTCCCTCCCCTTCACCTTCGACGCTGTCGACACCAACCTCCTCGTAATCCTTCTCCAAAGCAGCAAGATCCTCGCGAGCCTCAGAGAACTCGCCCTCCTCCATTCCCTCACCGACGTACCAATGCACGAAAGCACGCTTGGCATACATGAGGTCGAATTTGTGATCCAGTCTCGCCCAAGCTTCGGCAATCGCCGTTGTGTTGCTCAGCATGCAAACAGCGCGCTGAACTTTCGCCAGATCACCACCAGGTACCACGGTAGGTGGTTGGTAATTGATGCCAACTTTGAAACCGGTTGGACACCAGTCCACGAATTGAATGGTGCGCTTCGTTTTTATGGTAGCAATAGCTGCATTCACATCCTTTGGAACTACATCTCCACGGTAGAGCATGCAACAAGCCATGTATTTGCCGTGACGAGGGTCACATTTGACCATCTGGTTGGCCGGTTCGAAGCATGCGTTCGTGATTTCGGCAACGCTCAGTTGCTCATGGTATGCTTTCTCTGCGGAAATCACGGGCGAGTACGTTGCCAGCGGAAAGTGAATACGAGGATAAGGAACCAGGTTTGTTTGGAACTCAGTCAAATCAACGTTCAGAGCACCGTCGAAACGAAGAGACGCGGTGATGGAACTAACGATTTGTCCAATGAGACGATTCAGGTTTGTGTAAGTTGGACGCTCTATATCCAGGTTGCGACTAAAATGACATGAAGCGTTGAGAATAGGTAGAACACGGACTTACCGACAGATATCGTAAATTGCTTCATTGTCGACCATGAATGCGCAGTCGCTGTGCTCGAGGGTCGTATGTGTGGTCAGGATAGAGTTGTAGGGCTCAACAACTGCCGTAGCAATTTGTGGAGCAGGGTATACGGCGAACTCCAACTTCGACTTCTTCCCATAGTCTACGCTTAGACGCTCCATCAACAAGGAAGTAAAACCCGAACCCGTGCCCCCGCCGAACGAATGGAAAATCAAGAAACCCTGAAGGCCAGTGCACTGGTCCGCCAGCTTCCGAATCCTATCTAAGACAAGATCGACGATCTCTTTCCCAATAGTGTAATGACCACGAGCGTAATTGTTAGCAGCGTCCTCTTTACCAGTAATCAACTGCTCGGGATGAAAAAGTTGTCGGTAGGTGCCGGTGCGAACCTCATCGACAACGGTTGGTTCCAAGTCCACGAAAACTGCACGGGGAACATGCTTCCCAGCACCTGTTTCACTGAAGAACGTATTGAAAGAATCATCACCGCCACCAATGCTTTTGTCACTAGGCATTTGGCCATCAGGCTGGATCCCATGTTCCAGACAATATAGCTCCCAGCAGGCATTTCCCATCTGAACACCGGCTTGCCCCACATGGACGCTAATGCATTCACGCTAAAAATTGCACGTTAAACAACGAACAGCCGCTTACCATGATTTAACCAGAGACAGAGCACAGAGCAGAGCCGCTACAACGCAGAGCAGTCGAGCCGAAAAACGACGAGTTAGGTGTGCCGCTCCGTTTATAACTTGATCGGTCTGTCCACAATCTACTTTACGCTGATTGGGCGACAAGAATTAAACCAACCTGTGATCGATGCTCGTTATCGGCTAACCCTGTCGGAGGCAAGACACGGAAATCGAAGCCAGTCGGCTAACGGAAGCCTACTATTGGCTGTCGTCCCGTGTAGGCTGTTGTGCGCAGACAGACAGGCTGACGCAGAGGGAGACATCTCCTTGGCCTAAGCATTGATAGGATGCTCTTTTAGATATTGGGTTCGTGGTGTGCCTTGGCGAATTCCTCTCGACGGGCTGACTCGTTGGGGAAAATCGATTTCTTCGAAAAGCTGCTGGTCTTGTCGTCTGCGCGACCCACATTTTTTGTGTGGCGCGAGCCGGGAGCCGATCAGGAGATGTACATGTGCGAGTCCGTTTCCAATGCTGAGTAGTAACCCTAGCTTCTGCAGTGATATCGAAACTAATAAGTCTTTCTAAGTCCAGTAGCTACCATTGAGTTAAACACAGTACCGAGAAATGTAATCCGGATATTCCTCTCTTGGACCGGACAAAGGTATCAACTCGGGTCTATGGTTACTTCCCTTGTGGATAGAATTAGGCAAGAAAAAGTCTTAGGATGGTTAGAGCAAACCTCACCCCCTGCATTGACCTAGTAAGTGCTGTACATCTGTTTTTACTCAAAACGCCCCTACTATTGCGGTTTAGTGAAGATACATTTTGGGGGTGAATATGGGTTTGGGAACCGAGTCTGTTGACGCCCTATCACAAGGACGACACAACCGGTGTGGTTTGTATGTATTAGTTGCCTACCAAAACAATCCTCAATTTCCGCATCAGTGTGCAAAGATCCCTATGTCTTACTCGATGAATTCACTAAATATTCCTAACCAAGCGGCTACCGGCACCCTTGTTCATCGTTGATGCCGTGGAAGAGTCTCACTCCCTCATTCAAAGTAAGAAGTGTACGGATCCACTAGCTGATTTAATACACAGCTGGAAAGATGAAGAATTTGACTGTATCTGAACTGTGGTTGAAACTTCGGATGTTTTCGAATCAAACTAATCCTGAATATCAATCCTGTTCTTGTCCAATGTGGCAAATGATAGTCGTCAAGATATACATACAGGCCATTCAAGCAATACTTTACACGTAAAGGTGGGTTATATGTACAGCCGAAACTTTGACCCACTCCTGATTGTTTGCGTTGCTTGACCTCATACCTGAAAGTCTGCTTGGACCCTATAGCTCGCAAATCTTGTTTCAACGATGGACAAATTAAATGTCATAACAGGCCTTTCCAGTCCGATGATACAGTGTGCGTACATTGTCAAATGCACGTTCACGTCTTCGGTACTGTACGTTGTTGCACGTGAGCTAGCAGTAAGGGTTGGGCATTACGCGGATGGATCGCATGCCAGGTTAGGTTTAATCGTATTTCAAGGCCGTGAGAACTCAGACAACGTGAACCATCCCATCCAAGAAGCATGGTGTACCACAGTGTACAGTTTTCACCGAATCCGATCACCTTATCGATCGTTATGCGCAACTAAATTCGCTTAAGTGCACACGATGGCAAGAACAGCACACCCACAGTAGTTTGGGTTGAAGTAATCGACCAAAGGATAGAAAACCACACTTTGATGAGGTTACAAATTCGTAGGTAGATAGGAGGGAAAATAATTTCACGAGATGGGTGAAACTTCCTTCTGAGAAATCGTATCTCGAGGAGCCAGTCAACACGTGGTCACGTGATGTGCTCTGTCTAAGTGAGAGCAAACCACACTTGATCAGCGCTCGTCGACAATAGCTTAAGTGTTCAACCACTGGCCAGAAGGTCACTGATTCGAGAGGTGCGCACTACAGATGATTCCGAACAAGGATGAAACAGCTGTACAGTGCTTTTCAGATTTTCAGTAGAGCTTGGCTTTACTGACAAGACGAAATCGATATCGAATATTACCAAATCTCCGAGCACGATGAATGGTCTGATGCCACTCTGCCTCGTCGCTCACTTCATCAGAATCGAAGTCATTCGGTTCTAAAAGGATAGCCATAATCCAGTCCTACACTGTACAAAACGATATTAGGGCCATCAGTTTTGCTCTTTTTTTCCACTCCCGTTCAGCGCAGAAGAACCAACTTTTCCACTTGTATCACTGAAAACAGCTATTCAATTTTGATGTGGTTTAAACTGAAATCCTGAAATGCTAGTCTGCGTGTACTATCACTACTGGAATGTTTTGGTCTTGCATAGGTCCAGTTTTCGCCCACGAAGCGCAGGAGAGAAAGGATGCTGAAGCCAGAACTGCAATCATCTCTCATGCGTAATATACAGACAGACTGATTATAAAGAAGTAAATAGGAGGCAAAAAAACCACTGGAACGTTGAGAGAGATAAGAAAGACAAGGTGAGAAGTACACTCATTTGCAAATCAATTTGATTTCTCACGAGAGACTCAACTGAATCTCTCGTTTATGATATTCTACAACTGAGTGTGCTGCACACAGGCCGCCTCATATTTCACTTGGCACGATATTCGAGATATCGCAGTATATTTTCATGAAGGAAACCACTCACAAGATCGAAGGGTTTTCAGCAACCTTGTGAGTAGTTTCCTTTATGAAAAAAAACAAGCTGAGTTTTGAAAGTCGGAGGTCACGGTAGCAGGCAACAGTGCGATTGGTTATGTCGGGTGGAAAGCTTCATTATTTGAATGGAGAGTATACTATGAAGCGGCGTGAACATGTGAATCCATCCGGTATAAACAGTGAAAATAGTATCTGGGATCCCACGATTGGAATGTCAACACCGCGCTAATGAAGGTGGAACTGTTACGATCACGTTGCTGTTAAACGCTATTAGGGTGAATATATTTCCTTATTACCTATAACCTTAAAGTAACGTTTTTGCATGGAGGAACATTGCTCAAAAGTTGATGAAAACTCATCGACAACCCTTCCTTATTCTAGAGATTCCTCAAGTAAGTGCTCTCCTCGGGTTTGCGTCAGCATTATGTTTTAATTGAACCTAAATTTAAATGCACTCATAGGCACGCCAATGTGTTTCTGACCGGAGACTTAACTAAATCCCAGTTGAATATCAGAAACGAGAGGTTAAGCTCAGAATCAGTTGTCTCTGTTAAAAAAAGATTTTTAAGTCACCGTAAATTGCGAACGTTTTTTCATACTTCTGATTGGATTGTGCATTTACCCTATTCGTAGTTGTCACTACAAATTCACGATTCCTACATTCAGCCGAATAATGATATCCGGGCATCTGTTACAACTGATTTTGAGCGAATTCGTGTCCGTGTTTGTGCTTCTTCTGATAGTCTAACAGGTGCATACATTCATTCCTCAACAAAATTACAGGTTCTCTGTAAGAGGGGAACGGCCGATATAGGTACTGATACACCGGGGTGTCTCTCCCACTTGTTCTCCACAGAAAAACAGTTGTCCCATCTCCTGGTGCAAGAATCCACTATGATATTTCAATCTCGTTTCAACGTAATCTAAGTCAATATCATTAGAGATATTCCATTTGTGTCATGGATATCCTTTCGTCTTTTGCAACATGACACCATTAACGAACCCAACCGTCCGAACATTTCAGGCTGAGCATTTTATCGTTGATGAATATCAACTTGTTCCAGTTTTGATTCCCTAAGACGGACTGAGGGAGAGGTTGACCAAAAATTGTCTTTCAGACTTTCCGATCAAACATAGTTTATTGAAGTAACTTGTAGCTGTAACTGCATATTTGTGATGTTCCTCGTGAGTAAAGTTTTGAACCGTTTCGAGTTTTCACAGGTCCCTTTGCCAAAAGTACAGGTGGTTTCCAAGGGTCTAAAGTGCACATTACTTTAATGTTGCGACGAAGGAATTTCCATCAGGCTGCTCAAAGAATTCCTGCCAGCTTACGTCAAAACTTTGTTACAAAAAGTGCAACATGATTACCGTGGTGAAAGGTCTGTGATGTTTGATCTGCCTTTTGTGCACGGCTTAGTATCCATGCCTCACTTCAGTAGCAGAAATACGGGTTGGTACGGTCAAAAATAGCCAGTCTACCATTTTCGAAGCTTCTCTCTGTTAAGATGGTACAGTTTGGATTTTTTCATGGACTTGCTGAACGAGCCACCTGATTCCCTCATGTTTTAGCTTTTCTTCAGTATTTCCACTTTCTGGTGACAGTTTGCAGAACTAACTAGGTTTTTACTGTCGGTCGCGAGGTTTACTACCAGCTTCCTTAAACCTCTGTTCAGGCTGAAAGCATCCGTAACACCTCAAGTAGTTTTTGCAACGAAGTATACTTTGTCCTGCCAAATTGCTGCAGTCCGATTTTATAGCACAACCTACGAGGAAAATCAATGGTAGAAGGGAAATTATCCATTGTCCCACCTTTGTCAGTACACCACCGAATGAGCTTTCGTTTGTTTCAGCTGTCACCATGGTAACTGTTGTGATGACATCATAAGGCATCAGAAGATGAAAACGAACCATGATGGGGCTGGCGGCATGTGCTCATGGAATTGATGTGCATGTTAATACATACAACACACACACACAATTCGTTAAGCACAGATGAATTCAACTGTGATGATTCCGCTTTGCTGAGTTGATGATTTTCGTGACCTCATACTGTTTGCTTTACTGAAACCTGTCAAATTTACTGACTAAGGTATACCTGTATATGCATGGTTGCAGGACACTTCCTTAAAGTTGACTGCCAGAACCATTACAGCATACACACAAAAGATGTGATACGAATGAAAGTAAGGTGCTCCCGTTCCTTTGTGACCATGAAATAACAACAAATTCAGTCTCCCAGTTCTCCCAGGTGACAGACAACAACAACAACAACAAAAACAACAACGTT